CATTAACACCTCTAGTAATATATTTACTGAGAAAAATGGTGACGTGTTCAATACTTATTTTACCCGCCGTTAAATCAGCTGTGTTAAAACCATATGAGTTGGTTCCTGAGAATTATCGCCAACGGTTTTGTACATGGAAGAAGGCTGAAAGAGAAACGCATCTTGAGTTTGTTAGAGATTTGATGACACACTTTAATCGTTGGTGTTCTGCATTAAAAGTGGACAATTTTGAGAAACAGTGTGATTTAATCATTTTGGAGCAATTTAAAAACTCCATACCTGAGAACACTGCTGCTTATATTAATGATCAAAAAGTTAAAACTCCTGCTGAAGCGGCTGCTTTGGCTGATGAATATGTTTTAACACATAAGCGCAGCTTTGGAGATTTCAAATCTCATAGTGCTGTTGAAGGCAACACAAGGTCCATGTCTTCTTTCTCTTTTGGTAAACCAGAGGTTGGAGGTCAAGAAATGCAGAATTCAGAGAAAGTTTGCAATTTTTGTCATAAAAAAGGACATTGGAAACCTGACTGTTTTGCTTTGAAGGCAAAGTCTAAGCATGGTAGCTGTGCAGTAGAGGAAAGGGGAGTTTGTTTGGCAACTTTTGACCCAAATGTTTCTTCAGCCATGGTAACACATGGTGATGGGGCGCTGTGGAAAGTGGATTCTTTTTTGCCTTTTGTGTCAGATGGTATGGTTTCCCTGCTGGGAAGTGATGAGAAAGTTCAAGTAGTTTGTGATACTGCTGCCTTTGATTCTTTTATTCAGGCCTCAGCACTGACATTTTCTGAGCATAGTGCTACAGGCTGCTCTATCCCAGTATTAGGCATGGGCATGAAAGATTTGCAAGTCCCTATGCATAATGTAATGTTGTATTCTGATCTTTTTCAGGGACAAGTGAGTGTGGGTGTTCATCCAGCTTTGTCCACAGAAGGAATCACATTCATTTTGGAAAATGGAGTAGCAGGAGCAAAGGTTTGGGCTGAAAAACAGCAGCCAGCGGTTTCCTCTGTACTACTGGTAAGAAACCAGCCTGATGACAGTGAACTGAGTTTTCCTGAAGTTTTTAMAGCATGTGCTGTTACCCGCTCTATGAAGTGAACTGAGGAAGATTCTGTGATGGAGGGTCAAARGGCAGAGTTACATGGGTTTTCTCTGTCTGACTTACTGTACCTCTTACTTTTTCACAGGAAGATTTGAAACTTGAACAGAAAGCAGATCATTCATTGGATGTTGTGTTTGAACAAGTTCTTTCCCCAGAAGCAATCAAAAACAGTTCTCAGGGTTATTTCCTACACAATGGGTTGCTATTGAGAAAATGGCTGCCTTACAGTGACAGTTTTGTGGGAGACCCTGTGGTTCAGGTTGTGTTGCCAGTTAAGTTTTGCAACTCTGTCCTGAAATTGGCTCATGATGATGCTGGACATTGGGGTGTGAGGAAAACTTATGACTACATCATGCGGCATTTTTTCTGGCCATGATTAAAAAGAGATGTAACTGCTTACATTAAGACTTGTCATACCTGCCAGCTTGGGGGAAAACCAAATGAGCGTATTCCTCCTGCTCCCCTGATTCCCAAACCATCTGTCAGTCAACCTTTTCAACATCTCATCATTGACTGTGTGGGTTCACTGCCTCCTTCGAAGTCTGGTGCAACATACCTTTTAACGGTTATGTGTCAGAGTACTCGCCATCCAGCTGCATGTCCATTGTGGACAATAACAGCAAGAGCAGTGGTACGTGCTTTAACACAGCTCCGTTTTTGGCGTTCCAAAAGTTGTTCAAACAGACCACGAGTCTAACTTTTCTTCACACTTGTTTGCTCAGGTGTTGAAACAACTTCATGTTAAGYATAATAAATCATCTGCTTATCATCCTGAAAGTCAGGGTGTTTTAGAAYGTTTCCATCAGACTTTGAAGTCATTGTTGCGTTCTTATTGCATTCAGATGAAGACGGATTGGGAAGAAGGTTTACCTTGGTTGTTGATGGCAGCCAGAGACATGACACAGGAGAGCACTGGTTTTAGTCCACTTACATTGTTGGCTGATCAGTGCAGAGCTGCAGAACCTCCTAAAAATGTTGCTGACTATGTTAACAGTTTTCATTACAGATTGTATGCAGCTGGGGAGATGGCAAAACAAAACATCACTTTGGCACAAGTTGGGTGGACATCTGTGATTTCTGTTCCTTAATGGGTGGTGTCAAGAGACCCGACAGCTCCAGTCAYGACTAGGATTGGAACCAGACCTATGGAGCCTTCACTTGACCCCCAGCAGAGGAGGGAGCGTGACAGGAAAAGGAGCCACAGGAAGAATCGAGGTGAAGGCCGAGAAGAGAAGAAAATG